TGATTAATCATTTTTATTGTGGATGATGTTAATCATGGATATTATCATCTTCATTATTTTAATTTTAGAGAAATACATGAAACAGTTTCATTAATTTTAGAGAAATACATGAAACAGTTTCATTAATTTTAGAGAAATACATGAAACAGTTTCATTAAGTAGTATATGAAACAATTTCATAACCATATATGAAACAATTTCATAACCATATATGAAACAATTTCATAACCATATATGAAACAACTTCAACAAAAAAAGTATTATATGAAACAATTTCACAAGATTAAACAATTTCATGAAAAAATTTCATAAGATTAAACAATGAAATTGACAAATGAGAATAGTTTTTACGGTTTTTACAAATTGGAGTGGTTTTCATTTGATCGCTCCTCTATATATATATACATATATATACATATATATATATATATATATATATATGAAGTAAATAAAGCTTAGCCGATAAATTTTATAAATTTGCCTACATTTTTCTAATTGTAAATGATTTTAAACGTAATTAAATTTTTAATCAAACAAATTATTTTAAAAAAAAAGTTTGTATTGCTTTTAATTTGATATTTATATCAAAAATTTTAATACCTTTACAATGTAAGAAAACATTTAACGTATTTTCCTTTTTTTTATAAATTTTTTTACTTCATATTCTTAATTTTTTTTATAAATAAAATATTTACAATTATTAATACATGTATATAACTTTTTAGATTTTCATCTCATAAAACTAAAATAGGATAAATATTAAGGGATACTTTATTAAATGCTTACCTAGTAACTGTTTATCCAGTAATTTTTCTTGGTGGATGATAAAAACGATGATAAGGATGAAAAATTTTACCCCATAAGTGAGGGTGACAAGTACTCTTACTCGAGTAAATTGTTGCAAATGATACCGTTTTGATATACTACAATCTTACTAGTAAAATAAATTATAGTGTAGACTGCTATCGATAAGTGCTTAATGGGTCGGGTAAACGGCCCCTAAATCCTACTAATATGACATCGTAACAATGGCTTTCATTTTGTTCAAAACGACACACTCTATAAAATAAAATCAAGGAAAACGGTTGATAAAAGCATAAGAACATGATTAATGGTTTGAATTATCAACTTTAAAATCAAGATTAAACATTAAGCAAATATCGAAAAACACTTCATCACGTCAACCATTGAATTAATTGATCCAATGGATGTGATTAAATAGACGATTACATCTTTATTTTTAAATTAAAAAATCTCTCACCCCCCTATTTTTCAAATTAGAAAAAAGAAATACAAAATATGATCAAAATTCGTTTTTCTTTATGGGTTTCCATTTATTTAACATTTTTCCTGAACCTAATAATTTTATATAACTATAAAAGGGTACTTGTGCAATATAACGAGATAAATCTTCATTTTAATGTTTAGTTTTTATTCTTCTCTATTGATATAATATGATTTTATGTGGTTTTAAGAAAACGACAACATTTTTATTTTTAAATGAAATATAAATTTAGAGATAATATAAAAATTTGAAAAAAATAAATCAACATTAGTATCAAATTAACTATTTAATAATTCTCGTATTTTTGATGCAACTTATTTAATTCCTATTTTTTATTATACATTAATTTAGAGTTAATAACAAAGTAATTTGTTTTTGATTTAATAATATAATTTTTTATAAAGATAATAATTAAAAAAATTATTAAAAATCAATGATTATCTTAATTATAATTTAGATTTTTTATACTTTAAATGAATATTTATCCTGTATTTGATTATGTTTATCTACAATTAGTTACACAAATTAAAAAATGAAGCTTTAATAAATTGTATTCATACAAAATTACTTATAATATTGAATTTTAAATAATATGCATCAATAAACAGAATTTGTAAAAATACCCCTTCACTAGTCGAGACAAAAGTACATTCGAGATTTACACGCTAATGCTCAAGGTGGAATACATATTCGGTCAAACGCTGCAATTTGGACGGATCTATTYTMTGCTCAGTTACGACAGTTTGCTTCTTAACAGTAAGCATTTGAGAAGCAGCATCCACATTCCACCCTTGTTGCAATACATCTGCATATTTTCAAAAACATGTCGATGCTAAGATATAAAAGAAAAACCTGAATAACGTATGCTTGTAGAAGTCAATTTCTTTATTTTGCATTTTCCACAATCATTTCGAAGCTGGTTTGCTAACAAATGGCTCCTCATCTTTGTTCTTGTAACCGAGGGTGTGCAAGTGCATAAAAGCTCGAGTAATCCCATGGGAACCAGAAGGGTGCATTTGGTAGGCAGATGGGACTGGACGAGCAGGTATGCGAGTGAAAGAATTGTGCAAAATTTTAGGATTTTAATGTTACAGGGGTAGCTTAGTAATTTTACCAATCTTGCCCCGTTTCTATTATTTTTGTTACACTTATTTTGGTTTTTCTTTGTCCCACTTAATCCTTTCCTGTCCATCATAATGTTGAACCAAACGTGGGACGAAGACAACAGCCAAGAAAACTCCCGGTGAAGGTGATCCTAAGGAGAGTCGAACTTGCAGAGTATAATAATCCACTTGACCTCAAAAAGTCAATGTGAGCTTTTTCATTTTATTTGGAAAAGAGAGACTGAAATAACATATAGAAGCAGAAAACTTACAACTTGTGGCATCATTCTCGTTCATCCCCAAAAAAAGAGCTGTATCTTGAACGCTTATAGTTGAATAAGCAGACATCAATAGCTCTAACATCCTTTTGGTGTACCTTTCTGCAAAATGTAATCAAACTATCTCATGAAGCTGGCTGCATTAGGTTAGCACAAAAGAACCCACCCCTTGACCTGATTTGGCTCATCTCCTGAATATTATATGCAAAGCTTTCTGCAGTTCATTGCTAGCACTATTGAGTTATAAAGCTTCCCAAAATGATCCAAGAAACAAATAAAAAAATAAACACATAATTATCAAATGTAACTACAACTTTGTCAATATTTTACACAAAAGGAAAGTACAGAAGCAATGCTTCCTCCCTTCTCTAGTTGTAGTCACTTGACTTTCACTTTCAAAATTGTCCGAAAATAAGTTCAATAATTTCCTTTTCCAAGTGTCCAAAGTCAATGCAAAATTACCCTTTTTTAGCACAATTTAAATAACCATCTCCTTGATCATTAGCAATCATCACATGATATTGATATTTGCTAGCATTACTTTTGATCCACAAAAATCATTTGTGTTACTATCGATGGTGTTTTAGATAATTGACTAATAGCCAAACACCTAGTTTAAACTATATGCCTCCTAACCACAGTAAAAGGTACAAGTGCTACGAATAAAAGGACAAGAGTGCTAGAAAATTAAAAGGATATATGATAACACAGATTTGGCATATACAGTTTGACATTTAACGTCAAAGGACATAAACTGTACACAACCTATACTTCTTTATCACTAATGGCAGAATTATCCATTTACAGAAGCATTTTGGCATGAAAGGGGGAATTCATTACAGAAAAGCATGCTAACCGGAAAGAAAAAGAAAGCTTTATATGGCATATTTGAAATAGACTAAGTTGCCAATTATCGTATGGTTTCAAAGACCCAATTATCTCAAATAAAAAAAACTGTATACCATCAAATATCACTTGCATCAGTTACATCATATAGATACTTTTTCACCCTCTAATCTGTTTAAAGTGCCTTTACATACTTCAAAATTTGCCATACATGTCTAAAGCCAACATCCATCAAAGAAGTGCACAGCCGCATATGAACCTCAATTGTATTATTTCATTTGTTTCTTTTCTTTCTTATGCTTCTTCGGTTGGGAAGTATAAATATTATGCAGAATTTCTTCTATTTACCTACTACAGATGAACTAACTCGGGCCTGCAAAAATACCTACAAGAAGCAACCTTAGTAGCTAATTGTTCATACGATCGAGAAGCAACCTTAGTAGCCAAATGTTTTCAAATAACTACGTTCTACATATAAAAAAGTTCCCCACATTGTCATCAAGTTCTATACAATATTTTTCCCACAAAACCAGCTTCAAACGTGCCACTAAACTGAAAACTATTCCACAAAGCACAGTAACTAACCTGCAAATGAGGCGACAAAACTTTGAATCTCTGCACTCCAATTGAATCCACGAATCGAATCATACACACCTGCATAATTTCGAGTCCACAAGTGCTGCCCAATTTTCCAGACGGCAACAACTTCTGGACGATTCTCCTTGATTGAAGATGGTATAGATTTCCACAGAAACCGAGCGCTATTTCTGTCAATTATAAATAAACAAAATGATAACTACATCCAATAAACAGTCACACCATTTTATTATGTTGTACCAAAACTAACAAGCTATGATATCTGAAAGGAGGGTCTCAATTTCAAACAATAGCTCTTTTCTCTAACCACATTGGAAGTATATAACAAATTGGACCATATCAACTTCAAAATATTTACCAAGTATAATTCCCTCTATTCCACAATTAGAATAGGATTTTGAGAAAATGAAATTTGCTTAGTGTCTATCCCACATAAAAACACATGTATATTATGGAGAGTTGTAAGACCATATTTTCCTTCAATGGATAGGTTTAAATCAGATATTACTTGTTTTACATGTGGGCTTTTCTCTATCCCACGAATACCAAACTAAAAATTAATTTAGGCATACAAGGCCATACCTCTGTAAGCCATTAGTAGTTTTTTTCTAACGCTGTCAATCACATAAGATATAATACCCTTGATATTCCCAAGTCAGATACAACATCCCACATGCATTTTTGTGGTCATTATTACATATGATCGTTATTTTCTATTTCTCAAGACTGAAATTTGTTTTAATCCATTGAATCACCTTATTTCCTTACCTCTTCATCTATATCTGTGTTCTTCATTAAACCATTTTCTTCCCTGTTTCAATGACAAACTTTTGGAACTACTATTGACATGATTTACCAGTTACCACAGAGAAAAACATGATGTTAAAATTTTTAATCGATGACTGTGACTCCGTTAGAACTCTACATTAGCTAACATATCCTTACGTAATAATAGTCTCCGTCTTCCTAGTACCATTATTAGTATTCCTCTTACCTCGGTCATTATTCCTCTAATACTAAACCATGTATGTGGACAGTGCACGGCTAAGGTCTTAATCAGAGTTTAAACTGTGTGCATTCCCCATTTTAGGAAAGTGAAACGTCAATTGGAAGAGGTGTAGCATCCATGTCGATACCATTTCTAACATAGTAGTCTTAGTAGATAACACATGGAGAAATCCATTAACTAATTTGGAACATTTTTATCAGAATTATAAACCTGCTGTGGTCAAACAAGGGGCACAGAACAGTTAAGCATCTATGAACCTTAAAGGTTCTGGATTTCACAACAGCTCCAAGGCGGTCGCCATTCTGACGAAGATGAAAAGATGACGAAGAGGGAGAGAAAGGAGATCAGAAAGAAGGTGCATGAGGCAGTCCTGGTAAGAACTCATTTGCAGTCTTCTCTTTCCTTTTCAAAATTAGCTTGATTATAGATGTGAAATATTATATGATCAAGTCGGTAAATTCTATGAAGTTTTGAACATCGTTGGACTTTGTATGTGAGCAACCTTATCTTTAATTTGTTTTGTATATGTGTATATGAGCAACCTTATCTTTAATTTGTTTTGTACGTGTATATGAGCAACCTTCTCTTACGTGGTGTAAGGTTGACTATGTCTCCAAACTCTTCAGCACAAATATGAAGAAATATATGTGGAGCAAATTTTATCTTCTTAAAAAGGGGAGTGCAAATCAACGAGATAGAAAATCAGAAACAAGCCCTAAAATTCTGAAGTGAAACTCAAGTCTTCAGCATAAGATAAAAAGTAGGCAAAATGACACAATGGATTCTTTTTTCCTCAATAGTTTGGACTAATAAGTGTTCATAAACGAGCTAAGACTCGTGGGGAGGAGGCTGGAGGAGGTGTCGATGGCTGGAGCAAGACTCGTGGCTGTGAAGAAGAAGGCAGAGGAGGTTGATTATAAATATGAAATATTAACTTTGATTGCTTGTTTTCCTTTGAGTTATGGTATGTATTTATGGCCTTCAATGGAAATTGCCTTTAGGACTTGGGACAAAAATGAGTTCATTCAGATAAGTTCTTTAATTGCAGGATAGACTATAGAGTAGCATGTCTCTCTTAAAGAAATAAACTGCTACTGAACCTTGTATTGTAGTAGTTGACCAAGAATAAAGGAGGAAACTGGGAGTAATATTTGGGAGGGAAGATATATCATTTAGAGGAAAGAAACGGAAAAAAATACAATTCATAAAATTTGAAACCAAGGCTAAAACTCCTTCACAAAATCCAAGTGTTATGGTTGCAGGGAACATTACACCTACAAAAAGACTTTAAATAAAATAAAAGGGATAGCACGCTTTGCTAAGCCAATAAAAATGAGAGAAAGAAGGATCAAGGAGGTGATACGCCTCTCACCAAATTCTTTTCCCTCGGTTGCCATGACTAGTACGAGAGCGCAATGTAATACACGAATGCAATAACTTGTTTCTTTATTGATCAGTTTTAGACATTTATATACACACATATTACAGCACACTGCATCTTTAATGTCAAAAATCTCCTAGTCTCACATCCACAAGTAACACATGCACATACAAGTTGAGACACAAACTAATTAACAACACACGACAAAAGCTATCAAAATGTATATGTTTCTCTAACATATCACACTTGCAACAATAGTAAGCCAGTGTTTCTCAATTCTGAGGCGGTCAGTTTCACCCACTGCTTCTGATTAACTTTCAAAAAAAAACCCAGCCTCAATCATGCTTAACAAAGCCCTAAAATCTACATTCCCAATACATACAAATAAATAAAACAAAGGCACAAGAAAAATAGCCTGAACTTACAGATCATTTAGGTAAATGTGCCCTAGGAGATGAACAGCATACGGCCATTCTTCTTGAAATGCAACGCCCTGTGAAGCGAGCTACATAAAAAAGTAGACGAAAACAGTAAGATATAACCTAAGCCGGCAGATATGAACTTAGGGTTTCAAATCTGACCAAACCACAATCATTCGAGAAGGAAATCACACGACGATCAATACATGTATGCACGTCTATGTGTTACCTGAAGCATAAGTTGGTCGCAGACATCACCGATTTTGTCGAATGATCTTGACGCCATTGCGTCTGTGAGCCGAGAGAAATCCATTCGATCTGCACTGCAGCAACGCGACGCCTGGCCGCTGCTGCTCTGCTTTCTTCTTAAATAATTCCGGCCCAATTCATGGAGAAGCCCCAACTTGGAGTGGACCATTAAAGCCCACAATGTAATTGTAGATGAAGTTTTCTAAGAGTAAACTACACTTTTGAATTTTGATCTATCATGTTTACTCAATTTTTTTTTTCAAGTGATGTCATCATTCATATATTTATTTTGCTTTCAAGGTGGGATCTAATCACTAAAGGGTCGTTTATTAAACACTTACTTGGTAAGTGCTTAACGCATAAATTTCCTTATTGGATGAACATGAGAAAGACCAAGAATCTTACCGGGTAAGAGCGATGAGAATGATAAAGAGTCTTACCTGGTAAGTGAGGATGACGACTTTTACCCAGGTAAGCACTTACCTAGTAAATTGTTGCATTCAATATGCTTTGATGTACTAAAATTTTACGCATCTAAATAAATCACAGTGTTGAGTCTTATTGGTAAGCGCTTATCGGGTAAGCATTTGAGTAAACGGTCCCTAAGTTATTACCATAAGCAGATTTAAAAAAAATCATAAACAGAAATTTTATTTAACCAAAATAAAAACATTTTGTTTTTAAGAAATTCAGCATGTAACAAGCCACACATAACTCTACCTCATTATTGTTTTTCAAGTAAAGTATTGTTTTCTATAATTAAATTATTTAATATTATGAACTCAGTTTTTGCGATTATTATTATTATTTTATTATATCAATATTTGTTTACGATAAAACTTATTATTAGCCTTTTATGTCTGATTCATTAAGATATAGGAACATTCCGACTATTTCTTTTTCCAATTTTTTAGAGACACTTATGTCTTATTGTCCTCTTCTCTGATAAATAGGTAAACCAACCTCTTATTTGCCTTTTCCTATTCTCTAGATCCTCAACAACAGCGTTTCTCAATAGATTAACCTTAATCGATCTTATCTCTCAATCGATCATTACCAAATCGGTCATCACCTCTCTCAATTAATGTATTTTAATAGGATTTAAATGTGTTAAATACTGTCAATGACAAATCGTTTAAATGAATGCTATAAAATTTATAAGAAAATTTGATGATGATGATGATGATAATATATATATATATATATATATATATATATATATATGAGAAATTGTATAAATTTATCTTTAATTTCAACACTATAATTTTCTAATAGGTAAAATAGACAAATTAAGACATTTATCAGTTTACAAAAACAAATAGTCTTATTGATTCTGCTTTCAGACTTCACCACCACTCTTATCAATCAGAAATGAAATAAGAATTCAGACTTTAACACCTATTAAAAAACAAACGCCACCTAAGTATGTCATTGTGAAAAGTTATATTGTCGTTATTTTAAATATAATATTGAAAGAAGCTATTATTTCCATCAACATTGTCTATGTTTAACAACTCGTTATACGTAATGAGCACCTTTAACGAATTCGATCGGTTGTCTAAAGTTAATTAGATTTGATCGGTTCTCAAAATTCAACATTTATAGAATGATTGGATTGAATCGGTTTAGTCCAGTTCTATTTGATGTGGACTGCTGAAAGAGCTTCGGTTGTCCACTTATTTGGTTCATATTCTAAAAATTACAAAAACAACAACAAATTTGACGTAACGGCGATGATTAAACGAGAAATTTTGTGGGAAACCAACATAGTATATAAAGTTGTTGGTCTTCTAAGTTCAAAAAAATTATTGTTGTCGTTTTTTATACTGACATACACAAGTAAAAAATATTGTATCCTTTGTAGATGACATAAAATCAAGATCAACCCCTCTGAAATGTGAATAAAAGCATTTATAACAATAGTTTTTTCATAATTTATACTATATTATAAAGCATTTGACAAAAACTCTTAAAAATCATTTTTTATGCATAAAGTACTATTTATTGATGTATATCAAGTAGATTGTGTATAAGTACAACTTATTAAAGCTCCATATTTGAAATCGTGTAACTAACTACATATAAATATAATCAAATATATTAGATAAACATCTCATTTTAAATATAAAAAATCTAAAATATAATTAAGATAATCATTGAGTTCCAACAGAATACTTAGTTATTATCTTTATAAAAAGTTATATTATTAAACATAAATTAAATTTCTTTGTTACTAAACCTAATTAAATTATAATTAAAAAATTGAATTAAGAAAATTACATCGAAACATAAGAACTTTTAAAAAGATTAATTTGATACTGATATCGATATATATTTTTTTTCAAAATTTTATGATATTTTCAAATTTATATTTTATTCAAAAATAAAAACATTATCGTTTTCTCAAAACCACATAAACTGTATAATATCAATATAAAAAAAGAATTTAAAACAAAACACTGAAATCAAGATGTGTCTCGATACATTGCACGAGTATCCTTCTAGTTTATCTACAATAAAGAAAAAAAAAACATCCAACTCCAATAGTTTAATCATTTTGGAAATTATAATAGTAAATATATTATTAAAATATCCATACATTTATATGGCGTTTGTTTGTAAAAGATGCTGAAATCTGAAGTCTTATTTCACTTCTGATTGATAAGAGGTGGTATCACAATTAGAACAAGAATGCAACCACAAGACAAACCACAGGGACGAACTGAAATCAAAACAAAATCAGGAGGAAGATTGACATACCTTGGTCATCGAGAATATGTGGATTGATTTGGGTCGAGAATGATATAGAGATCGAAAACGTTTGAGAGATCAATTTGGAGGATTGGATCTAGAAACGAGATCGAGTGGAGAGTATGGAGGCGTGTCTATCGAGCGAATAAGAGAGGAATAAATGTTTAAGTTATCACTTTTTTTCTAGATGATTTTAAGAGTTATTGAAGATGCTCTAAACATCATATAATAAGCAAATAGGTTGTTGTGCATCTCTATTTTCATTATCCAACACTGTTCGTTCTTACAACAAACTCAGAGATATGCGAAGCCATCACTTCATCTCTCTCGAGGCGTCAACCCAGCAAGAATCGCAAAAGGAAGAAGTTCCCAGCAAGTCACAAAAAACAACCGACTAATAAGGTTGGAAAATAGAAGCTGTCAAAAATTGGGCCTGCATCCAATTGTGTCATCATGCACTCCGTCTCTCTCCGGTCGTTGATCCCCTCAACCTCAAGTCATCGCCATCACTCCGTCGCTCTCTCCAGTCGTTGATCCAAGAGAATGAGGTTAGATACCTCTAATATTGTTTACTTCTTACTTTTTTTGCAGAATTCTTCACCTGTGGTAGTACTCTGTATGCAACACAAGACATCGAAATAAACACACAGATATTATATATAGATTTGTCGCCTTAAACCATGTCTTGAAAAACGCCATAATCTGATCGTTACTTGCAAGACTTGAATGTTTTACTCAGCTTTTTGAATGTTTAAATTTTGTCAAGTTTTATTATCTATTGATTTTATAACAAATTAACTTTTTAATTCAATTTAAAATACGCGAGAAATGACGTCACAAAAATTTAACTATTCTTTTATTTTAAAATAGGATGTAAAATTTTAGTTGTAAAAAAAAAAATATATGACGTGTCATAATAATTGGTGTCGAATCATCATTTTAAATTTAAGTTAAAAATATAACGTGATATATTAGTTTGCATTGACATGTTTTAAAGGTATTCGTATAATGCACCAACATATATTTTGATTTTAATGTTTTATTTTATTCTTTGTTTTTTTCGATATAATTTAGTTTTATGTGATTTGAGAAAATGATAATAATTTTATTTTTTAAATAAAATATAAATATGAAAATCTATAGAAATTTTATTTTTTTATATCGAAGTCCTTTATAACTGTTTAGTTAAAGTAAAAATTGCTTTTGGTCGGACCATCTAGCATCAAATTAACTATTTAAAAGTTCTCGTTTTTTTTTTGCAATTTTTTTAATTAAATTTTTTATTATAATTTAATTTAGATTTAATAAAGAAGTAATTTATTTTTGATTTAGTAATATAATTTTTTATAAAGATAATTGTAAGTATGCTTTTAAAAGTCAATGATTATCCAAATTTTAAGTTCTTTTTATAAATTGTACTTACTTACAATCTACTTGTAATCTTGAACTTTAAGCAACATGCATCAATAAACAATATTTTATGCATAAAAAATTGTTTTTAAAAGTTTTTGTCTAATGCTTAATAATATATTATAGATTATTAATAAATCATTAGGTCAACCGAACCCTTAAAAATATATGTAAAGTTTGGTTCGAACCGTAAAATGATAACTTTTAAAAGTTGGCTCTTAAATAAGAATTATATGAAAGTTATGGGCCGTTTACCAAACACTTATCCGGGTAAGTGTTTACCAAATCATGTTACCTCACCGGATGAATATGGTAAGAACCATGAATCTTACCCGGTAAGTGAGGGCGACGACTCTTACCACGGTAAGCGCTTACTGGGTAAATTGTTGCATACGATGTCGTTTTGGTGGACTAAAATCTTTTTTTTGAAGTATATAATATTTAAATACGACAAATGTAACAAATAAACTCACATACCCTCCTCACCTATGGTGAGGTTTGAACCCCTGACCTCCTAAAAAGCCAAGGGCTACGATACCGCTAAAATCTTACTCGGTACGTAAATAATAGTGCTAAATTTTACAGGTAAACACTTACCAGATAAGTGTTTGATAAACGGCCTCTTAATTTCATAAACATATTTAATATGTTAATTGCTTTTAAATTCAAAAAAGTAGACAGTAAGAGCGAGTGCCTCAACCAGGTATAATTCAAAACTAATATTGATATATTTATTTTCGAAATTTTATGATATTTTTAAATTTATATTTTATTCAAAAACAAAAACATTATCTCTTTCTCAAAACCACATAAAAACCGTGTTAAAACATTTACAAAGATGAAATAAAACTAAAATCGAGATATATCTTACTGCATTGCGCGATTACTCTTCTAGTATATTTCTAATGGTCCTTGTCCTTTTTCAGTATTCAATAGATCGTGCTAT